GTAGAGTCCCTGTGTTCACTTCAGCAGCACATATACTAAAGAAAAAAATAAAAAATAAAAATTGGAGTGACTTATAGAGTTAGCAGTTTGTAAGCCTTTACTGCTCTGATGGATAAAAATGGTACTTTAAAACGTTTGATGTTTTAGATTTGTCTTTGAAATTTTTACTTACGGATGTGTCTGTCTGTGTGAATGCATGCTGTCTGTGTGTGCCTGCAGAGGCCAGGAAAAGAGACATTGTATTCATTAGCACTGGAGTCAGCAGCTGGTTGTGAGCCTGCAGGTGTGGGTGCTGGGAACTGAACTCAGGTCCTCTGGAAGAGCTCTAACTGCTGAGTCATCTCTCCAGCTGCACTTCGCTGTTTTAAATAATGTATTTTACTCTGGTTTTAGGTTGAAGGTCTTTGCATGCGTTTATTAAATTGGACCATGGCTATTTCAGCAAGCATCTTTTCAGTACTTAGCAGTCTGCTAGGGTTAAGTAGGGATAAAAAAAAAAAAAAGCTTGACTCTCAGGAGTAATCCACCTAGGCAGACAAGTTTTATGTAATGTAGGAATATGCCATTTCAGGCTCCTCTTTACATAATGGGAGCTTGAGGGCAGGGACGAGGAGGTGATAGGAACGCAGTGTGGGAGGAGATGGGATCAGTTTCTCTTGTGTTGAGATGGTGTGCTTTACTCCGTTCGTGAATGTAGCTTGAAAGGCGCATGCCGCCACCGCCTGGCGTCACTCTGAATTTTAAGCATCAGTAGCCTTGGTACTTGGCAGCTATTCTAATCCTTGACCTCTAGCAGTGAGGAGTGGTGTCAGTATCCAGCAGCTGCGGGTGGCACTGGCTAATTTTAGGGTTCCTGAGCAGGCCTCTGTCCTGAGATCTCAGCTCTACAGTTGCAGTTTGATGGGAGATGTCATTCGGTAAATGTTTCTCTTATTGGTTAATGAATAAAGCACTGTTGGCAAATAGGAAGGCAAGATAGGCGGGACTAGGAGACAGGGAGGATTCTGGGAGATGTAGTAGGGGAGATTCAAAATGAAGAGACTTCAGAGGACCTTCTTCTCAAGTCTCTACATCTTGAATCTCCTCCCTACAGCAGTTCTTACAGCTGTCAGGCTTTTCAGTCTGTGAGACAGTAGTATAGCTTACAGGTCTAGGGTGGCTCAGATCCTTGACCCCTCAGGTTTGGTAGCTCCATGAAACCTTTCCATGGACTAGGGCATATTATCTTAGTTTGAGCTCTTTGAAGCTCCCCGTTTTTGCCCCGGCGGCTCTCTGGACTTTTAGGCCACCTGTCTCGTATTGCTGCAACAGCTGTTGCTGTTTTCCCTCTGTGTGTTACCAGCTCAGCGGTGTCACTAATATAGTGACGGTCAGAAGTAAGCAGAAATGGCCATTTGAAAGCTAGGTGTGGGGTGCACCCTGAAATCCTAGCACATGGGATGCAGAAGTAGGGAGATCAGGAGATCAGAGCCATCTTTGGCTACACCGCAAGTCTAAGGCCAGCCTGAACTACAGAAGTTCCTGTCTTTAAAATGCAAACGGGCTCAGCCTTTAAACTTCCGTTTCAGAGGATCCAACGCCCTCTTCTGGCTCCTGTGGTTACTACATGCATATGGTACATAGACAATACATGCAGGCAAAACACCTATACATGTACAATAAATAACATCTTTAAGAAAACCACATGGAAACAACAAAAACCCAAAACAAAAGTCCCCTCCCCACACACATGCAAAAAAAAAAAAAAAATCACATGAAGCCAGGCATGATATTCTACACTGGTTATTTCCCTGTTTGTGAGGGTAAGGTCAGAATGTAAGGTGATCTTATACATAGTAACTTCTAGGCTAGCCTCTTTATAGTGGACATAAAAGATTTGTTTTTTATATATGAGTTTTTGCATGTGGCATGTATGTGTACATGTATCACGTGTGTGTGTGTGTGTACCATGTATGTGCCTGGTGCCTGAGGAGGCCAGAGGAAGGGGTTGGATCCCCAGGAACTGGACTTAGGTATGATTGTGAGCCACCATGTGGATGCTGGGAGTTGAACCCATGACCTCTGCAAGAGCAGCGAGTACTGTAAACCACGGATACCCCAGCAGTTTTTTTTTATTACTTAGGAGTGTTTTTAGCCATTCCAGGGTGTGTGTGTGTGTGTGTGTGTTTGTGGGTGTGTGGGTGTGTGGGTGTATGTGTGTGCTTACATATGAAGCTGAAAATTGTTCATTTAATTTCTTTGAAGAATTGTGTTGGAATTTTCATGGGAATTGCATTGAACCTATAGATTGCTTTTGGTAGGATGTTATTTTCACTATATTAATCCTACTCATCCATGAGCATGGAGGATCTTTCCATCTTTTGTGATCTTTTTAGTGTCTTAACATACTTAATTATACAAGTCTTTCACTTTTCTTTGTTAGAGTTATCTCAAAACATTTTGATTGATGATTGGTTGATTGATGCTATTGTGAAAGGTATTTTTCCCTGATTTCGTTCTCGATCATTTATATTATATATGAAGGCTAATGATTCTGTGAGTTAATTTTGTATCTATCCTGTGCGCTGCTGAAAGTGTTCATCAGCTGTAGAAGTTTCTTGGTGTGGTTTCTAGTGTCTTTTATGTATAAGATCACATCACATGCAAATAAAGATGCATTGCCTCCTCCCTTTCTTAGCCTTAGATCTCCTTCAGTTGTCTCATGACTCTAAGACTTCATGTGCTGTATTGACGAGGTGGGAAGAGAGTGGACAGCCTTGTCTCGTTCCCGATTTTCCCACCATTTAAGTGGATGTTGGCTGTAGGCCTGCTGTATATGCCTTCATTATGTCCCTTCTATCCATTGTCTCTCCAGGACTTTAATAATGGAAGAGTGTTGGATTTTGTCAAAGACCTTTTCTGCATCTGATGAGATGATCATACGGTTTTTGTCGTTCAGTCTGTTTATGTGGTAGATGACATTTATTGATTTATGTATGTTGAACCATCTCTGCATTTCTGGGATGAACAGAAATGAACAATTGTGGGAGTTGTAAAAGAATTAGGCAGTGTTGTTTTAGTTTCTATTTTGTGGAATAATTTGAGGGGTATTAATGTTAATTCTCTGAAGATCTGGTAGAATTCTGAGCTGAATCTATGTGATCGTGGCTTTTTTTTTTTTTTTTTTTTTTTTTTTTTTGGGTTGGAAGATTTCTAATCATTACTTTTATTTCACTAGGGTTACGGATCTGTTTAATTTGCTTAACTGATGATGGTTTATTTTTGGTAAATTGTGTTGTGTGTGTTCTTTACCTGCTGAGGCATCTCATCTTCCCTGATCCTATGAATTTAAACTTTATCTTCTGATCTCCTTAATGACAGTTTTCACTCATCGGTATTGCCGAATCTCCACAGGCTTGTGTGTTTCCTGTCGCTTCTCTTTAGTTCTTGCACTTGTGGTAAGCCTTGTTTTGTGGACTAGCACGAGGTGGATTTTGGAGAAGACTGAGAATTAGTGTCTGTTGGAAGGGAGTCTGTGAGCTGTTAAGTCCATGTGGTCTGTGGTGCAGTTTAACTCTGAGCTGTTTTTATTTTAGGTTGCCTAAAGATTAGCAAGACATTGACGCTTCCCATTATTAGTAAAACATGACTGATTTGAATTTTTGTGCGCGTGTGTGTGTGTGTGTGTGTGTGTGTGTGTGTGTGTGTGTGTAAAGTTGGGAGATCTAATGGTTTTGTTTTGTTTTGGTTCGGTTTGGTTTTTCAAGACAGGGTTTCTCTGTGCAGCTTTGGAGCCTGTCCTGGAACTCACTCTGTAGACCAGGCTGACCTTGAACTCACAGGGATCCACCGGCCTCTGCCTCTCAAGTGCTGGGATTAAAGGCATGTGCCACCACTGCCCGGCTAATATTTTTTAAGAAACATATTTGCAGTGGTTTCTTCCTCCTCCTCCTTGATTTTATTTTTATTTTATGTATATGGAGTTTAGCCTGCATGTGTCTGCACTATGTGCTTGCAATATCTGTGGGGCCCAGAAGAGGGCATCAGAGCCTCCGGATGTGAAGTCACAGATGACTGCCCCATAGTGTGGATGCTGGGCAGAGAACGTGGGTCGCTTTCCTGTAAGAGCAAAAAGTACTTTTAGCCACTGAGCCATCCCGCTGTCCCTTCTTTTATCTCCCTGGTGACTTGGTTTTTAAAATGTAGTGGCCTTCTGAATCTCTTTTGACTTAAAGTCTTCTTTAGCCAATATCAGAGTAGTTGTGCTAGTCTGTTCTTTACTACCATTTCCTTGCTAGATTGTCTTACGTCTGTGGGTGTCTTTACACTGAGATGTCATTTCTTTGGAACTGAGAGCTCTGATTTGGGATAGCCTCCACTTCCTCAGAGAGCATGGCAAGCACATGGCAGTTAGCTGAGTTACTTTGTGTTCCGATAGCACTGTTGTCCTATTTATAAAAACTTCCCAGACTACTCTTAGTAACAAGCAAGTTATGATTACTAGGAATTTGCTTTGAGACGTTTTCTTGGGCAGAGTTACGTTATGCTTTTTTTTTTAATGCTTATTTTTTTTTTTTCACTCAAGTGCCTGTGTGCATCTTTGTAAGTGCATACATGTGTGTGGGCAGATGTTCTCAGAGACTGAATGAGGATGCTGGTTCTCTTGGGGCTGTAGCTACAGCCATTTGTGAGCTACCTTCCTTCCCTGGGTGCTGGGCTCTGAACTCCGGTACTTAAGATAGAGGGCAGCAAGTGCCTGTAACTACAGAGCCGTCTCTCCAGTTATGTTCATCCTAACGTGGAATAAGCATGGGCTGACATTTTCATGTCTATACTGGCTCTGATAGATTATAATCTCCTCTTTCCCTTTGGGACTTTGTTTCTGATGTCCAGCATATTTGCACATGAAGAGAACTATGCTTGCCTTTAGAGCAGGCGTAGGTTTATATATATATACATATATATGTCTAGCTCCACATGAGGAAAGTGTGGTGTTTATTTTGAATGATTTTTTTTAACAGGTTGTCTGGTGAACATGCCCATGTGAGGACCAGTTCCCTACCACACAGAAGATGGGTGCGAACAGCAGCAGTATCAGTGACCTGCCTAAAAACGAGTACTTGAAGAAGCTGTCAGGCACCGAGTCCATCTCTGAAAATGACCCCTTCTGGAATCAGCTCTTTTCCTTTTCTTTTCCTGCACCAACCAGCAGGTAAGATGCTTCCTGGAGACTGGAAATTCTGATCAAAGGCTGCATGAGCCTGTGCTATCAACGTGCTACTTTCCAGTGACCTTTTCTGCTGGTTAGTATGTTAGTAGAAGCTGCAGAAGGTAGGAAAAAATAGGAAATAGTTTTTATCCTGCAACTCTGTCTCCTTCCTTACCCAGCTGCATTTGCCAGCAACAGTTCTTTCCATTCTTAGAGGCAGTGAAGTTCTTTCTGCGCATCCCATTAGTCTTAAAGAATTGTGTAAATACAAACATTAGCATCAAACCATCCTCCTCCTCGCTTTCTCCTCCAGTTAGGTAAAACATGTCTTGTATATGTAAGCATATAGACAATAGCTTTATTCTTTTTCATGGCTACAGAACAACCTTTAAATACTTTTAGTCAGCTTTCTATTAGTGGGCATTTAGACTGTTTGTAATGCTTTATTACTTCATAGCATTGTGCATATTTCACAAGCATACAAATTTATCTCTACTGTGAATTCCTTGAAGTGGAATTGTTGGGTCAGAATGTGTGTGCATTTGTAATTTTAGTAGATACTCCAGGCCTTTCCAAGGAAGTTTTCCCAATTTATGCAACAAACCACAGTATCTCAGAGGCTTCGTTTTTTTCTCGCTATTGTCAATTTAAGACCTTTTTGAGACCTCTCTGTCTCTCTCTGTCTCTCTCTGTCTCTGTCTTTCTCTCTGTGTGTATCATTCCCTGAAGCTGTAGTTACAGGCAGTTGTGACCCATCTGATGTGGGTGCTGGAACTCAACTTCCAGGGCAGAGAGGGTCTGCAACTGCTGAGCTGTCTCTCTAGTTCCCATTGAACAGTATCTCATGTAAACGGTTACAAGAATTGACAGTTATATGGCAATGTAGAGTAACTAGAATATTGCATTTTCATAGGTGCAATAGCTAGATTTTTCAAAAACGTATTTTTAAAAACATTGCTGCTACAGTTGACGTCTAGTTACCACCCTCTGTGAACGCAGTGAGAGCTGCAGATGGAGTTAAGCCTGTCACCAGTTGACCTTGAAGTGGGGAGGGAGGTCAGTGTGCACTGTCCTGGTAGGTCAGTGTGAGGACGAGAATTCTTTTTCCCCCAAGATTTGTTTGTTTGTTTATTAATGTCATGAATGTACAACTTTCTGCCAGAAGAGGGCATCAGGTCCCACTGCAGGTGGTTGTGAGCCACCATGTGTGTGCTGGGAACTGAACTCAGGACCTCTGGAAGAGCAGCCATCACTCTTAACCACAGAGCCTTCCCTCCAGTCCATAAGGACTCTTGAAAAAGCAAGAGGAACAGAGGGAAGACTCGTCAGTCATGTGATGTGACTCGGTGGAGAGAGCCGGCAAGGGAGCAGTGGCTCGGAGCCGGAGGGGGCTCGGCACGCTTCGCTTTTCCTCGTGACGTGACTTTTGCTGCCACTTGCTGCCTTGTTGGTTTCTGCTCGCTGGAACTGTTGTTAGACTTTTGCCCCGCACAACTGCAGTGTAATAAATTCGTATTGTTTTACACCGCTGTATTTGTGGTGACTTTAGAGCCACCCCTCCCCCAGCATTCACAGGCTTGAATGTTGTAGATATTTCTAAATGGAGTCGTAGGTGTGGTCTTTTGTGAGCTGCTTCTTTTACAGAATGGGCAGATAAGGAAGGGCCAGACACTGTTCATTCCTTTTTGTTGCTCTGCTATAGCCTGCCTTACGAATACACATTTTCTCTGTCTCTTCATCAGCTAATAGACATTTCTGTATTTCTGTATTGGTGGAGTTTGTAATTTTTAAGATAGGGTTTGATTGTGTAGCCTTAACTGTTTTTTTGGTTTTTTGGTTTTTTTTTTAGTCAGGGACTCATGTAGCTCAGGCTGGCTTCAGATTCTCTGGCCCTGGGCTCCTGATGGTCTCACCTTTACCTCCCAACTTCTGGCTTTTTTTTTTTTTTTTTTTTTAAGCATTTTAAAGTAAATCAGTGATGCAGAGGTGGGATGATTGTTAGGTCTGTACCGCATGGGCTATGTAGGAAGCCCTTGTCTCAAAAAGAAAACCCCAAACAAACCATGGGCCCAGTGGTTAAGAGCACTTACTGCTTCTACAGAGGACCAGAGTTTAGTTCCAGCACCCACGTCAGGCAGCTCACAACTGCCTGTAATTCCAGCTCCAGAGGACCCAGCTGGATGGAGATAGATCCCAGAAAGACACATAACTTCTAAATTACACAGCGGTGCTAATAAACCCGTGCTTGTTGTATTTTGATTTGCAGCTACCTGAATATGCTGGTGTAAAAGTGTGTGATGTGTGTGAGCATGTTTGTAATGTGTGTGCCATGCTTGTCATTTAGGGTCGCCCCTCACTGTGTTATCACTCTGTTGTTTGTTCGTTTCTCAGGCCGTAATGGTGAAGTAGGAATGATACCGTGTGCTCTCAAAGGGTTCACACTGTAGACTGAAGCATGATAAGGGCTGTGTGGCAGTGCAGGGGGCGTGCCCATCCCAGGGGCATCACGCCCGCTAGAAGACCGTGGAGGACTGAGAAGTGGGTGGGAAGAGTTAGGAGATTTTATAGACTGTTAAAGCTGTATATGTTTCATCCCAGCATCTGTTGAAGGGTTTTAACCAGGAAGGGCGTGACCATGCTTTCACCTCCTTTGTTATTCTGAGTGCATCACCTGGTGATACATTGTCACTTAGTGAAAATGACTTGTTGACTAGAAAGTTTTTTTTTTTTTTTTTTTTTTTTTTTTTGTCATTCTGAAACACGTCTAATTAAATAAAGATAAATGAAAGACAGTTCAGATGTAGAGTCAGATATGCACTCTGCAGACTGGTCGGAAGGAGGCAGGCAGTGTGGGTGTGCTATGGGGGGGGGGCGGTGATGATTCCAGAAGATTCTGGAAGAAGCTGGAGGGAACCAGAATAAGAAGAGTCCCAAAGAAGATGGATGTTGCAGGTGCCTCCCACCTAGGGCCTGTGGGTCGAATGTGCGCAGGGCAGCTCTAACTGTGACTGAGGGCAAAGGTACAGACCTAGTTGAACATGAGATCATCGGTTGTGTTGTTTTATAACTTGATTATAAATGACTGTCTTTAAAGGTGGAACACAAGTAGCAGGAATGAAGGTGAGGGCTCTCCCAGCGTTAACTATGGTGTCTGCAGATGGAACTAAAAAAGTATAATTGTACATACTTATTTGCTAAAATATGTTGTGGTTTAAGCTCTAAAGGATATGAAAGTTACACAAATAGCAGTCTGCCCTCTCCCGTCGAAGGAAGTGAAAATCCCACATTTCTCTAAAAAAAAAAATGACAACCCAAGTAACAGCATCACATAGAATGGTCTATTTATTTAGGCATGGTCCTCATTATGCACACAAAACTAGCTGTGTCCTTAAAATGCTCCTCCCCTAGACTCCCAAGTGCTAGGGTTGGTTACAGGTGTGAACCACCAAGCCTAGCCTGTGCTAGGGTTACAGGTGTGAACCACCAAGCCTAGCCTGTGCGAGGGTTACAGGTGTGAACCACCCAGCCTAGCCTGTGCTAGGGTTACAGGTGTGAACCAGCAAGCCTAGCCTGTGCTAGGGTTACAGGTGTGAACCACCCAGCCTAGCCTGTGCTAGGGTTACAGGTGTGAACCACCCAGCCTAGCCTGTGCTAAGGTTACAGGTGTGAACCAGCAAGCCTAGCCTGTGCTAAGGTTACAGGTGTGAGCCACCCAGCCTAGCCTGTGCTAGGGTTACAGGTGTGTACCAGCCAGCCTAGCCTGTGCTAGGGTTACAGGTGTGAACCACCCAGCCTAGCCTGTGCTAAGGTTACAGGTGTGAACCACCAAGCCTAGCCTGTGCTAGGGTTACAGGTGTGAGCCACCCAGCCTAGCCTGTGCTAGGATTACAGGTGTGAACCAGCAAGCCTAGCCTGTGCTAGGATTACAGGTGTGAACCACCCAGCCTCACCTGGGTTGAGCACTGAAACTTGAAGTTTCAGGTTTGAGAGCTGGGCCGAGCAATGCAGTAACAGCGTGTGTATCCCCGCGGGAGCTGCCTTCTGCGCTGTACAGTGACCGAGAACAGTGCAGTGAGGCGCGCAGGTTTGGGGCCAGAGTGACCTTGTTCAGCCCAGCTCTGCCACTCACTTTGTGCCCTTTATTTAGCATGCCACCCAAGCTCTTCGAGCCTGCCACTGCTTGTGTGAAGTGGAAATAGTGATCCTGACCACAAGGGTTTGTAGGACACCACAGAACAGTGGTTTCAACCTTCCCGACGCTGCGACCCTTTAATACATTCCTCATGCTGTGATGACCTCCAACCATAAAATTATTCCATTGCTACTTCATAACTGTAATGTTGCCACTGTAATGGTCATAATGTAAATGTCTGATCCCTGGGATACCTGATATGCCACCCCAAAGGCGTTGCAACCCGCAGGTTGAGAACCCCTGCTATAGAGTGAAGGCGAGGTTTAAAAGGGTTCACCAGACCCAAGATAAATGATAAATAGGTGTTTATTAGGGGAGAACGTACACAGATGAGAGTAAGTAACGCCTTGGCCTCCCTACTGCGGAAGATGCTGTCTCTGCCCCTCCGATGCTCTCTGGGCCCAAGAGAGTACAGGCCAACCCTCCTCTCCCTTATCATGGGTCAGGTCTGCACCAGAAACCACCCAAAGGGTGTGGTCACTACCACAAGTTCACTGGCAAGGCAGGATGCCATTACAATGGAGTATGGAGGGCACATTCTCTTTTCCTTCAGGGAAGTTACTATTATTCAAAAATAGCAAGGGCTGAAACCGAAGGATGAACAAAACTGAACTAACGTTCTGATGAACACTTTTCTACTGGAAGCCATATGACTTTATTTTATTTTTATTTATTTATTTATTTTAAAGACAAAGGGTCCTTCTGTGTAGCCCAGCCTGGCCTGGAACTCTCCTGCTTCCTCCTCCTTCAGCTTCCCAAATGTTGGGGTCTCAGGCAGGAGCCACCGTACCTGTTGGCTATGTGATTGCTG